AAAAAAAAACACATTCTGGGAGGCTTTTAGACATAAACATTAAATTTAGATTTTATTTGCTTATTATAACTAATTTAAGGTTAGCGTAATCATCAAATAAGTGTTTTTTTTTTTATTATACAAAAAATAAGTATAAAATACATACTACAAAACTACAAGTAAATGTATAAAAATTTGTATTTTATAAAATGTTAAATAATCTATTATGGGCACTTGCGATCAATTTGACTTTTACCCCCTTCTTTAAATTCTTGATGACTAATCCACATTTGTTGAAAAGTTCCAATAGATGCTAATATTGAACCACCAATCCAAGCACCAAATCTTCTTTCAGTGGATCCATTAGGTGCTATCAATTTCAATCTCATGCTAGCTGGTATACGGGCAGAAAGGTCTCGGTTTAATCTTTCTGGGAAACCCTTTAGATTTATAAATGCCAGTAATTAATAAACATTCAATTTTAAATTTAATTCACAATTCAATGAATATTTTACTTGTAAAAATGAATTTCCACCAGTGACGATAACATTGTTATATAAGGCTGGCCTCACATCCACATCACACATTCCAACACTTGTGGTAACAATATGACTCACACCCAACATAGAACCACCCATACTTGCACTTGGATCAAATAAGGCTTCTGGTATCTTGAATCTTTCATTGCCGAATTCCTAAATTTAAAATAATTTATTAATTGTTTGTATAAGCTAATTATATAGCATTTTTTTTTTTTAATAACTAAATGTATAGTTATTTTAAATAATTTTATACTTTTTTCAAAGTTCTTTTATAATATAATCTCAAAGAAATCCATCAAGTCAATGTAATAAGTCTAGTGATTGTCTTTTATATTTTCTAGATTTTTTTTCCAAAAAACCATTCACGATTAAATTTATAATGTTAACAAATTTTATTACATATTACATACACGTTACATATATAAGATAGTATACACTTATACGTGCTAAGATGCTGTTCTGATTATCATGAGAAAATGTAGGTTGATATTTATTATTTTATATAACTAGAAAATGCCATTTTATACAAAAGAAGGTTAATCCAAACTATGTATTAACTGTATCTACAAAATATAAAAAATAAGTGCTATCATAACAAATTAGGAGATCAACTTAGAAATTATCTGAGATTGACCGTTTAACCACTCATGGTATAAAGTATATTTAACAAAAAATATTGAACAGAAAAATAGAAATAAATATATGGCTTTTGCTTTTAGTTTTCAGCTCAATAAAAAATATTAGTGTTCAAAGAGGACACCACATGCATGCTATTAAGAATATTCAATTTAGACAGTTAATCAACTGATATCTTTTAAATTATTACTTGATTGTAGCCATTTGGAAACTCAAAATGAGAAGTTGGAAGAGCTGATATTATTCTCTCATCATATGGACTTTCAGATACTTGTAATATAGAATGCTTTAAGTCTTGAATAACTGCTTTGCACATATAATTATGCCATGAAGTTGTTACTTCGGGGAGTGAATGTTTCTTTGTCCATACTGGTTTGTCTTTTTCTTTAACCTGTTCTTTCTGTGCAACCATATAATGTGGAATCACTTCGATATCATTATCCTATAAAAGAGGAAATTAAAAATTTAATTTAATAGATTAAACAGGTGCTTTGACATATAATTTACTTACTTTTAGGAACTGTCTACATTGCATATTAATGAAGTCTCCACCTAAAGGAGATTTCACAATAGCACTAGGTATAACATAACCATCATGTACAGGGATGGCAGAGGTATGTGTAGCTCCACTATCTACTACAATACCAGTAGAGCGTCCACAAGAGAATGCAGCTAATACAGCATTTTTCCCCAGAAAAGTGGCCGGCACATTATACTTTTCAAACATTAATTCGACCAATTTCTCTCTTTTAGATCTGATATTTAATGGTGACTCGGTAAATAATACAGGATGATACTGTGATTCTGTTTGTAAGCACTTCGAATAAGAGTAATCCAATATTTTCTCAAACAAATCCCAATCATCAATCATGCCATCTTTCATATAGCTTACTACTTCCATACCTAAAAAGACAATATTTGATAAAGAAAAATAATTCTTTAATAATTAATAAGTATTCATATCATTATACAAGTACCTTTTCGAGGGACACACAATGAGTTAATGTCAATATAATGTTTGGTGTTTTCGTTGATACGATTACTTWGTTTAGCACCAGGTTCTAACATACTAGTGTCCGCAGTACCATCGCTTGAAACACCGACCACTGCTGGTATTTCAGCTTTTGGTGTGTCTTCTTGGGCATAACCGATACGAAACGATTGAGACCCCAAGTCAAACACCAAAGCTCCAATTTCGTCACCACCATATAGCATGCCACTATTCATGTTTAATTGTGGTTTGAATGTTGTAAAACATAAAATTATAATAATAAATGATTTTTACGAGTAAGAATTAAATTAATGAAGTCTCATGCCGCGTTGAGAATTAAGACGAATAAAGCAAAACACTTATAAACTAAGCTCCTATTGTTATGTATTAGTATATTACACTACCATAATCATCATCATTCATTAATTATGTGAGATATAAGTATTTACCATAGAATAGAACATTAGAAATTAGAATTGAATACTGAACRGAAGCCAGATAATACGAGACGCCGGTTTGTTTATACTTTGCAGTGTAACCAAATTCGAAGCGAGAGATGGAATCGATTTGAGCGCAAATCATCACTGTTATTAGTTGTTATCAAAATCGGAAAAACTGTAMTGTTTTCCCGGGGATATTTATTCCGATAAATGTATGTAATGTATAAGCTGTTTAGTTGTTGTATGCATGACAAAATAAATATATTTTGTCATGGTTGTATGTATAACATCATTTCTAATCGAGGAGCCGAACTTAAATTATTCTTTGGTAGAACTGTCTCCATTTCATTATATTTAAACGAATTATACATATATATATATATATATTTAAAACAAACCACTGCCCACTCTGGTTTATCAAAATATTTCATCAAGTTCTTTTTAAAATGTTTTGGCGGGATGATCACAATGTGCGACTGTTTAATGTATATGATAGACAAGGAACATAACGTGCTTATTGAGGAGTGAGGACATGTTGATCGGCTGATCATGGACTTAATTAAAAATTTACATAAATATGATAAAACAATGCAATTATTTTGTTCTATAAACGTGATAACTGAGAACTGACAAACAAAAAAAAGAGAAGTAAAAAGTCAACTTCAAAAAGACTAAACATCTTAAAATAGTTTTAATGCATCATCWTATCATATATTGAATAATAACGACATRTGCAATAATAATAATCACTTAATCACTGCTCATTAGAATACATTATTCTTTGATTAGTAGTTTTRATTATAATTTTACAATTATTTCACCAGTTTTATTATGGCCGTTAAGACTCATTGTTACCTTCAATGCCCCATTGAACCTCAAAAACTTTCAGTGACTTGCTGATCCAATACAACTGAATGAATATCAAGCTAAAATTGTTTAATTACAGGAATATTTTATAGTATTATAAGTTTTTTTTTAAATAAATAAATGGTAACAATTTATTATGGTAATTTTGTTCATGTTTACAAAAATGTTTCCAAATTTAACTTATTTGGCCCATATATAAAATATTGCAAACAATATTATTAGACATCATAAAATAATGATGCTAATGGGTACCTTATAATGAATGCAAATAAACTGCAAAAAACCTGAAAAAAAAAAAATCAGAAATGGGTATAGCATTGTCATAATCAAAACTTACTTGGATGATTAACAATGTTACAGTCAATGTTTTCTCATCAGTCGGTCCCATTTTAAGTAGACACAGATTAATAAGTGTTAGATTATTACATTTACTAATTCCATCAGATTTCTCTTGAATATGAATAATTTTAAAAATTGAAAATAATTTCAAAAAAATCTTTCCAATAGTTGAAATATTATTATTATTGTACTCAGCAAAACTTGGTGATAGTGTTCCATATTTATCCAATCTACATATAACATAATTTTAATTTGTTTCATTAATTCATGTTTAATGTGCGTATTATACAGAATGCAGTAATAATAAACCTTGATTTGAAAAGGTTATAGTTTGATTTTGGGTGGAGGTACATCAGTAGTATTTACATTGACAGAAAGCTTTATTGATATCATTGATAATATAAATCGGCCAGAGCTCTTTAGCACTCAGTATTCTATAAGAAATGATTCCAGATAAACTGTCTCTTTCTATGGCCAAATTGACCAGATTTAATCCTCTGTGATTTTTTTTCTCTAGGCTATCTTAATGCATACTGAAGTTAATGCCATCTTACACGAAATTACCTCTAGGGCCATAGATAACCACCAAGAGACTAATGTAAATTTATAATGAGATCTGCCACTGAAGTCATATAATTTACATCAATTGGTATTAAATATTTGAATGTACAATTCATAAATAAAATATATTTTTAGAAATGTAATTTAGTTAAGATTTTTATTAGTTTTACYAATCATGTAATTTTTTTGTCATAACCTGTATTATAATATTATAAGTATTCATTTAATACCTTGGAATACGGTGCCTTGGACAGTTAACGAAATGGAATAACTGGGGAATTGAGTACAAAAAATTGAATATTTGTGGTAGGAAAAACAATAACATAGTTTTGCTAAAATGACCAAGAATTCCAACTACTGCAAAAGTCATRCCAGCAAAATAACAATAAGTATCACCAACAAACACTTCTGAAGGATACCTGAAACAAACATATTTGATTATGGCTACTAACTGAAAAAAAGTTTTAACAACTAATAGTTTACTTGCCAATTATATTTTAATAAAGCAAAAGTAACAGATATGAATGGTATTATAAAATGCAATGAAAATAAATGTGCTTGAGCACAATCTCCTGATAGTTCAATTAAATTAAAAATTAAAATAGAAATTGCAATTATAAGACTCTGTCCAGTTTCCAATCCATTTATTCCAGCTAAAATATTAATAGCATTTGTACAAAATACAGCTAGCATTCCCATGTACACATAATAAAGTAAACCTGTAGAAATTATAAAATAATACATTGAGACAAGTAAWGATTAACATTAACATTAGCTTGTTTTGTTTTTACTTTTAATATTGAAAACTATCAATATTATCATAATTTTTATCACAAACGTAACAGAGTTTTGTWKTTATGTATTACATTTTTTTAGAAAAAAATTGTGATTTTTTTTTTAAGAGAGTTAAAAATTGAGTTATTTTGAATTATATTGGCATCTCCTGCGAATAAAGTCTGCATACGCCTATGAAATACATAATACATCTTAATTAAAATGTAAGGCTTACCCAAGTTCACAGATACTCCAAAAATATCTCTGAAAGGTTTAGGTACAATAATTGTAGTAGAGTTGAAATTTATGTAATAAACAACAAGTAAAGGTAATGAAGCAATAGTTGGTAATAATAGTTTATGTCGCCATCGTAAGTTCAGAACATCGTCTGCAAATCCCAATAGAAGCATACAGCAAATTGACAACAAAGCAGCTAGCATTTCAACAAACTGAAAAAAATAATTAAGCAACTGATTTCTTGAATAATGATTATTTTATTAAATTATTAATAAAACTATTCCAAAGCACCAACTAAATATTTTAGTTAATCAGTTATTAAGATACATATTTCTCACCTCACCTAAGATAATTGTTTGAATAAATCCTAAAATATTGAAATATATTATTTTTAAATAATAATTTCTGCGGACCAAACTGTTTTTATTAAAATGTTTAATATCAGAATATTTTATTTTAAATAAAATATGGAAAAATTACTTCACTGTGAGGAAATAGAGTTGTATCATTTTGTAACATGTGACGGCCAAAGATGACTGGTATCAACACAAATATTGTGATCAGAAATGTACATCCTATTACTACTCCAAAAGCTTCAGGACTAAATCAAAATAATAATAGATTATTGATCATACAACTATCAATTGTGCAAATATAAAAAAAATTATAATCAATGGTAAAAAAAAAAAAATAAAGTTTAAATTCTTGTTATTTTAAGCTTACATTTTATTTTCAGATTTTTTATTTAAATCTTTTCCATATAAATTAGCACCAATGAACACAGATTTTAAATGTGGTATAATATTATAAGTASAAAAAAAGGCAAATACACTAAGTATAATATTAATAGAAATTATATAAAGAGTTTCCATGGTTAAAATGTAAATTATAATATTATAACTAAATACAAACACTTAACATTATCCCAGAAATAAAAAATACACGTCATATGACATGTTACGTGTAAATTATAAAATTAGTAAATAACTTAATTTAAAAYAGATTATGAATATTKTTTATGGTTTATTTGGTCATACAGAATTATTATTTACTTGTATAAACAACAAATTACAAAATAAAAAACAAAAATTAAATTATTGTATGTGCAATATTAAAAGGTTATCATATAATCACGATTGTTAAAAYATGTTCATATATAATATTTTGATAATCAACGACAATCGCAAGGTGGGATATATCGCACTCGGACAGTCGACAACACGATTTTTCATGGAATAAAATATAACACATAGTTTCGCGCTAATTTAGGAACTAATAAAGAATTATTTTGTCAATAACAATCATATAATAATTCACATTAGTATTAGTTCACAATTTATAAAGAAACTTTGTTTGTCATTTAGTAGTTACTTGTCGATTTTGATATAGGTTTATTAGTTTCAAAAGTTCAAACACAAATTAAATATATTCTTTTTTGTTGCTTAAGGTAAGTCCTATTTTTATATTTAATAGGTAATTGTCTTTATGAAAGCAACGTAGTCTATTTATGGACTTTCATTTAAAAATTCTTATAATAATTATACATAATATAACATCTCTATCTAAACTATCGAGATGATGAAAGTTCAATGTTAATTATTTTTAATTTATATAAATATTTATGGTCATARCTCATAAATGTAATCTGGGATTACAGTGGCGCCCGCAGAAAATCAGCTCAATGGGTGCGAAATGAAATGCATTTTATATATTCACATACCTAGTCGAATATTCACATTATTATGTATTTGGCTATACATCTACCGATGTAATAAACATAACTCCAAATGTAATAAAAAAAAAATTATAATACTACAAATTCAAATTATTATACAATTTTAAACATAGGTATTATTAATAATATTGCATAAAATATGAATTAAATACTATTATAGAAATGATAAACGTCTGACATTTAGTCCAAAATACACTACGCAGACACACGGTGTGTCAGTGGATGAGTGTATATAGTATGTTTTATATTTTTTGGGTTTCCCGGTAATTGTCGTACTCACAACGTCGCATTGTCGCACCAATACCTATTGTGTTATTTTGGTAGAATTGAGATGATCAAAAATATTTTTGCTTTGTGTAGTAGGTATAATTTACTAATGCGGGCTTTTATGAACGCCGAAATTTTATAAAATATAGTTATGAATCCCATGTGCATATTGATTTTTTTGCGGTCGCCTCTGCTGGGATATATATATATTTGTAATAAATGCATTTTACCACGCGCCTCACGAATTTCGAATTTTTTTTTTAAAAGACTTGTTATTCAACGCTGATTTCGAAACTGTTTGAATTTTTGTGCGGAAACCATTATTTTGGAAGTTATAGCCTTCCAAAGTTTGCGATTTTRCGTTTATACGCATGCGCTCAACACYAATTGCGCTCAATTTTAATTGGACTACGTTCTATATTTATATCAATATCGCTATTTCATAACTATCTCATTATTGCGTAATTGTTAATTAAATTATCTTTATGATAATWAAATAAGCTCTATAAAGTTATTTTGCAATTATCAACAAGTAGACAGGCTAATGAGTACATTGTACATTGTATATTGTATACCTTGTCAGTTAAAGTAATATAAGTTTATATAGTGGCTCCCTTCGCCTACCGGCTCCGTTCGCCAAACTCGAGGTCTTTTTTTTAAAAAAAATTGTTATTGAAAAATGAAATTTAGTGTTAGTTGATTACTTGTGTAATTGTGTTCTGTGTGCCTGTGTGAAAGGAAAATAGGAAAATGTGTATGTCTTCTCCAAAAAAAAAAACTCAAGCTCAAGAGTTGTACTATATAAAGTATAAACTATAAACTAGGTAGTAGTAAGTACATACTTACTACTGAGTACAGGTATAATTCCAAATTCATAATACGATTTGTCTTATAGATAATGTTGTAACTGTAGCTTATTATTTTGTAGTAATGCAGTAGCTGGTTTAGTTGCTATCCAAGTTGTGGAGCCGTTGAAAAAAAAAATAATAAATGATAAATAACAATTTTATTGATAGGTTATTAGGTTATAGGTATTAGCATTGATTATAAATAGTATTTATAATCAATGGTATTAGGTATATATATTATATMATTTAGTAAATTGTACGTATCAGTCCATGTTTGATGAACAAACCGTAAATTAAAAAAACCAACAACGACATCCAACTATTAAGAGTTTTTGGCGGTCGATGATTTGACGTTGATAACTGAGTAAGATGTAACAAGTAATAAAACAAAAACATGAWTGGCGATACATGTCCCATAGCAGGGYAAGAGTATAACCATCATTGTTCTGTGATTCGTCGTAACCTCCATATTTATTTTTATAATCTCGAATTTGGATTAATTATGGATTTTAACTGGATCACCCCGCCATATTATATTCCGTAAATACCTATATGCAATTATGTTATATTATAACTATRTATTTAACTATATTATATATTTAATGGTATCATTACAAGTCCCACCCCCAACCCTACGCCTCAAGAGAAACTAAAATAACGACCCTATATCTAAAACGGTTATACATMTAGATTTTACAATATTGCTGTAAGCTATACTAATAAATACCTAATTAATATTCTACTACTTTACAGCTGAAAATAAACATTAAAAATGAACGTTGTGAATAAGAACAAAACAGGAACTCATCGAAAAACCACAGAGAATGATTTTCAAATACGTAAATATCAAGTCGCATATACTGTATATTTCAATAAGTGTTAATGTGTGATCCATTGTTGTATATAGTATACGAAAAAACAAAACAAAAAAAAAAATGCATCAAGGATATTTTTTCTTTGTACATCTGTATATTTATTACTATTTTTYCAATAATTATATTGACCAGGAGCTAGTGATAAATTCGATATCGCTAAATCCAAGTTAACAAAATGAGCATCGCCGTTTTCGGCCAAATTTACCCTTCCCTTTCCAACCAGTGTCACTTTTCGGCCAAAACTTACCGTTCACTTTTCAGCCAGTACCTATGCAATTTACATATTATTAGCTTCGTCGCATAAATTAACAATTAGTTTTTGTTTGTAAAAATTTTACTTGTTTTATAGTTTGGACTCTTCAATGTAAGTTTAATTTTGTTCATAGTTGATTTTTAAAAATAAAGATAAACCAGTATATTATTATTCCTTGTTAGTTGTTTGATATGATATAGGTATGATATAATGTAAAAAGCAACCCAATCAAGTTATAATGTAGTATCAAAATGTTTTGTCAATGATTTTATGTTGGACTGTCCTGATGACGAAAAATAAAAAAAATACTGTGATTACTTGACTTTCAACGAACGCATATTTTTTT